TTAACCTTACTATTATGTTGACGAGTTATAGCAGCTGGTGTACCGAGCAGGGCTTGCCCTCCATATCTCTCGTTGTCTGCTGGATGCAGATAATCATGACCTTCAACAAATCTATCTTTCAGCATGGCACTTGGCCCAGATTTGGCTTATAGGAGATGATTGACTGCACCAGCAATCTTTCAGATCAAGTAATCGTATGACAGTCATCTGTGGGCATAAATCAATGCTTCGTTCAACGCATCGATCTTCGCATTCTCTCATATCCCGTTTTCTTGCTGACCATAGATGAATCAGCTCTTTAGCTAACTCCTAGACATCCCTCATGAACAGCTCGTGGAAATCAAATGGTTTCTCAAAGTAGCGCAGGACGTTGCTCTGAAGACGTGGCGGTGACTCCCTGACACGTAAGATAGTGGGCGACACCACATTTCTCGATCAGCCATGCACTGCACCGGCGTTAGCCGAAGTTTCTTGTACTTCATCGTCTGAGTCACGCAGAACATGAAAAATCAATGTCATTGCCCAGTGACTAAGGTTGTAGGGTTCATTTCGGCTATCCGAGGATGAATGAATATTCACTGTCATTCGCTGGACTTTTCTGGATTTGGAACTTTTCATAGGAATGTTAGTAACCATGTGAAAGCTTTAATCTCTGGTTAGAGCTGTACATGGCCGGTTTTCGAAGATGCATTCAAAATAAAATTATGTTCCACACCCTAACTGCACTTTATTTTTCTCACTCGTATAATAAGCGGGAAGCAAGAAAAGCATATGAACGCGTAGAGGAATTCTCGTAGCATCTGAGTCAATCTTTTTATATGGAGATTATTCCAAAGAGGAGAAAAATTCTCAATTGAAAACAAATTGCACCCGACAAGTCTAATCTATCAGAGCATTGATTATCGCCCGCCCTCCTGACTATGGGTGGGCCGGTTAACAAACTCGCCAAATATGTGAAATTCGGTCTTATTTTCCCTATTACATTGCAGTGAAAAACAATCTTTTCCAGAAAATAAGTACAGCGTTGGGATCTTTGAAACTTACACTATCGAAAGACTAATAATAATCTGAAGAAAGAGCTCTGTTCGGTGAGGCGTAAAATGGCAATTTTTCTTTCTCCCACAGCGCTATCAAAGAGTTTTTCCGAAAAGTAAACACACTTTTGAGTTCTTCCAGAGTTGAGCTTACGAAAGAGTGTGGAGCATGCAAAGGAGGGGACTTTGCCCAGAGAAATATTGACGAGGTAAGAAAAAAGAGCGTGAACGTGTGAAACATGACTTTATTTTAGATTTTACAGCATTGTAAAATGGCTTTTTGGAAAATCGCCCACGTACGACTCTAGCCAGAGATTTAAGCTTTCGAATGAGTATTAACACTTCTGTGAACAGTTTCTGTTTAGCGAATGAGGTCGAGTATTCATTTGTCCGCGGTTAACCAAATGAACAGGTTGAAATCATAAATAATGCCCATAGTGAAATATAAGTGGATATATAAAAGGATTACTATTCAAAAGACGATAGAAAGAGTATGTTCTATAATTCTGTATAGGTCCTGACAGCATATTCCACGTCTTTCATGAAGTCTGTTATTTCACTTTTAATGCTAGACTAACGTTTCGGTCTTCTGGCTTTATTAGTATCACGGTGCTTTTTGGTTATCGATTCCTTAGGATGTAGGGGTATATACCCTTGCAAGTTATTGGCTCAACCGAAAGGCACCGTAATACTAATGGGGTCAGAAGGCCGAAACGTATGTCTAGCTCTATAAATGTCATATCAGACTTCATGAAAGGCCTAAAATAAACTCTCGGGATGCATCAAACTTCAAGCGAGGTCTTGAAAAACAGTCGTATTTATATGTAAAGGCATTCCATATAGTCTCAACTCACGAGGTACGTTAGTAAGCGAAAAATTGTTGACACTTGTCTATGAAGAGGCATCACATGCGATGCGTAGTATCATTTTTTACAAATTATACATTATTTCACAGTTTCATAAGATTATGGAGACTTTTGAATGTTATATGCAGTGGGAATATATCATAACTATTAACACAGACTGTACTGAATGACTATGTAGGCAAAATGCTGTGATTGACGATTTAATCTTCCGAACAATGTACAAAGGTGATCTGCTTTTCACACAATAAAGCAAGGATAATTTTTATTGAGGTATGAATAAATATAAATAAGATAGCGTAGTGTTCAGCAACAGTTCATATTATGATAATTTCGTATGTATTTGGTTTCCTGCATGAAAAAACAAGGTTTTAAAAAAAGCACTGGCGTTGTTCTTACTGCCGATATCCTTATATCTAAAATTCATCACAAAACTATTACATTATTATCAGAATACGCCTGTGGCCGCTCTTCGTACCCGCTCGATCCGCCCGCCAACCAAGAATGGTCACCTCCTCAACAGATTGAAATATTGGGTTGTCTCATAATTATTTACGCATCTCAACAGTTTTTTTAAATGAATTGCTATTTATTCAAGAAATCAATTATCCAACAATATAATCGCTGCATAACCAATGATACGCAACCATTTGATGGGGAAAGATTGGATGTCTTTTTCTCAGAAAAATTAAGGTTGTGATCGAAGAAGTCGGTGAGGCTACCTTTGAGATGGTTATAGTTTTAGTCTCCCGCGATGCGGTTTCACATCACGGAAGAGATGTTAATCCGATGGAGCAATATCAGGATTACACGGTGGATGTGGTACCGTAGTCCAGCCCAATTTTCTACAAAACGTGGGGAGTCGACTTTTTAATGTGAGGTGGTCGCTCGATAAATTAAGTGTTTATCGAGCCATCAATTTGCAAAGAACTTTTTTGTTTAGATGCCTAGCCATGGTGTTACGGCCGCATTCAAGTTGTGCCCAAGCTAATATCCTCCAACGCCCTTCAACCTTTTGGCAGTAATTCGATTAGAAATGAAGAAAAACTGAAGGAAACATTAGGGCGAAAGAAATTATGGAACAAATCAATAGAAAAACGGCTTTTTTGGCCCATGTGAGGATTAACAAACGGGCGTCGAGCTCTGAATGTTCAGAAAGCGTGTCGTCAATTATACGGACACTATAGTAATCACTATGGTATGGTATATCATGGTAGATCAAACTGCTTAATTTTTCATGAAGACTTCTTCAAAATGAAGTATGGATAGCTGGAAGTAGGCAGCTACAATTTCGTAGGATAATATTATAGCATTGGCATATCTGAATCAAGCAAGATTTTTTTTTTTGCATTCGATGGACAACTTGCGAGTTTATGTTATGCTTAAACTGAAATTTTGATACGCAGAGGAGGGCACAACTAATCATCTCAAGTTGATAGTTCGGTTATTATTTCCATTCGAAGCGAATACGTTTTTAAAGCAAATGTTCTTTGCTTACAGCAAGTACGACAGTTGAAACGCTTATACAGATAACATTACAGTGTTTTGAGAAGAGTGTTCACAGCAGTAGCACGAGTATACGGGGACTCATCGCTTATCATTACAAGAAGCCGTTAGCAGTCGTAAAGCTGAGAGATTGTCCGCTATCACGTGTTGCATTACGGGGACACCTATGGTTTGCCGTTTGCAATACTGTTCTTCGATCCATATCTATTGATTTGATTAGTTCCAATAGATCCTGAGACTTTTCTATTGATTGAGAAGACTGTATCAAAATCAACCATAAAAAATGATGTTTATTTTCTTCTTGTAACACTTCGTCCTTTCAGTGCTAGTTTTTTCGGATTCGATATTATCGCACCTTTGCAGTGTCTTTCTGCTAAATTTATGCAGTTCCCGTCAGTCTAAAGATGATCTAGAGAACATTTCCATGCCCACATACTGTCCAAATTTTACTTCATACTGCCCAGCTACTATCTCAAATTACTGAAACTCTTGAATCAATTGCCTTCACTTATCATTCTTACTACATCCTTTCATTTCTATGATAAAATACTTTCGAGAAATAACTACGTGAGAAAACGTCATTTCATCAAAGGGTCTCAGCTTTCCATCAAATTAGTGACGTAAGGTTATACTAGCACACTATAAAGAATATTTTTTCATCACACTGAGATTATCCTCAAGATCGCTATTCGCACGAGTTTGCATCGGTGTTTCAAAAATGTCGTTTCTTCTATTTGAGAACTATATCATCACACATTATTCTTATTTCGCTCAAGTGTAAAATGATTCTGAGTGAAGGAAGTCCATAGTATCTTCGTTGCTTGGTCACCATTTCGAACTTAACGATATTATCTGTTTTAATGCTTTGACAGGCAACCAATCTTCGTGGCTAACGTTGAGATTAATATTAATTATCAGCTTCCTGAGATTGTCGCTCTATTGCGGTTCACAAAATAAGAAAAGGAGAATTGAGTGGTGAGCAAAAACACGGCCTCAGTCGGGAATCGAACCCGCTTTTCATCCTATCCATGGACGCGTGCTCCAACCACTACACCACCGAGGCACATTTACCCGACCACTCATTCTTCAACATCTCTAGGTTAGCTATCAGCCACCAACCTTTAACAGGTTTGGTCGGATATGCGATTTCATAAACATTATAACACTGCGAAATAAGCAGTAGAAATATTATAATTTCGAAGTATAAGAAAAGCATTTAAATAATGCTTCAAAATAAGAGAATTAGTACTAAAGAACTATAGTTTCTTTACACCGTAGTATGTGACTTTCTTAATAAAGTTATTTTTATCGCCTGAAACGCTCCACACTGGAATAAAGCACATTTTCTGCAGGATAATTGAGTTCAGCAAGAAAAAATTATTCTCAGCTAACTGGCCAATTTAGTCTAGTATGAAAGCTACCAAATTGTACATACATCCAAAATTTCGGCTTCTCTCAGCAATAGACCAACCTATTTCTGAAGCCAGTTTGGCCAAGCTTCAGACAAGTGAGTGCATTCCCGAAATTTTTATTGTTTCAACTGCATTTTTCGCACTGTTATGATGTGCCTAAGAGAATTGAGGGGTGAGCAAAAACATGCCCTCAGCCGGGAATTGAACAAGCGTTCCATCCATACCGAGAACGCGTGCTCTACCACTACACCACTGAAGGACATTTGCACCACTGCTCATTCTTCAACATCTTCATGTTTGCTATCAGCCACCAACCTTCAACAGGTTTGGTCGAGTATGCAATTTCGGTTCGCGGCTGAGGCCGTGTTTTTGCTCACCACTCACTTCTCTTGAGTGCATTCCATTTATCATTCTAAATGGTAACAAATACACAAAAAAACGAAAAACGTCCGTTATTTATCGAGGGTGAAGTAGTCGTAGGAAGAAAATGTGTTCTTCTTCTGTTTCTTTTCTTCTTCTTCTGTTCCCTCTGTGTATTCCAAAATCAGTATCTATTTAGTATTCAGTAAATACAGCTGGATGGTTACTTGGGATCATCGTTCTGATATGTCCGCTTCGGTTTTATTGCTTTGTTAGGCAAAAACTTTTAGGTCAGAAAAGGGCACATTTTGAAGGGAGAAAATTCAAAACGGTTGGTTCGCTCATGCACCAAAATCCGTAAATGTGAAGAGAAACGTCCGAAACGTCATGTAGCAAGATCACACACTTCAACGAATCCTCGAGTCGCATAGACCTGCAAGGCTGGCACAAGTTTACTGAGATACCGATATAGTTTTGTAAATAATGATTATACTTTGAAGGTCTTATCGAACCTCTGCTCACGGCGCCATGCCTAACCTATGAGTATGATATTTGAGCTTTGCTCAAAATATGCGCCTTTGAAAGGATTATCGAAGCGAGTTTCTACATATACCTTTCTGAATATCAGTAATTATAACGATTCTCCGCTACCACTTCGTTAAAAAAGTAGACATCAAGAAATGTGCATTCGCCACACAAGAGTATTGCAGATGATTGCTCCAATCAAAACCATAACTAGCAGTCGCTACTAGGCAATTGCTTATTCTCATTTACCACCACGTTGTTGCAAAACTTCATTTTGCTCCATAAATTGTCTAGGATTTCGTATCATAAGACGTGAAAAAGCAAGCTTTATTCAATTCATACTACAGTAATCGAAGGCGTATCCATGTATATCACTGTGGCTATGGCTTGGAGAGAAAGGCTCAATGAATTCTTGAATCGACGACCGAAGGATTTAATAAAATCGGATATGTTGCCTACAAAAAGAAGTTATAATCTTATTACAAGGTTCAAAATTTCGATGTTATTTATTACCTGTGTGGATTTTTGACTCAAACTATTTTCTCGCAGTGTTATGATGCTATAATTCTCAAATCTAAGTCTAGGAATGCTGAGCGGTATGCAAAACAGAAGGCACCGGTATGGAAGACACGCGGGTTCAGCTCCCGACTGGAGTCGAATGTTTTGCTCAATGCTCAAAATATTTGAATTTCGTTGTTACTTATAACCCATTTGGATCTGTGCCTGATAACAACAGTGAGCCATCGATTCAAAATGGTTAAGGCAATTTAAAATTGCCTGGACCTAACATGTTTCCCCATCCCTATAATCAGTAGGAGTGACTAGTGAGGCGATGGCTGTGATGAGGAAGACGAGACCGACGAAAAGTAAGTGAGCCACTGACATATCAACCTCGAAAGGCTTAGAACTCAATAGATCATATTCAGTGTTCACAGCGGGGTTAAAAAAACAGTCGTTTGAAATGCAGTGCTTATACCTAGAGTTCGTTATTATCGCTGCTAGTGGTCTTATCATAGTTAACTTCTTTACGATCAATAACTGACGGAAGATACAGGATACATTACATAAACTCACGTCATGGGTGGCAGGATAAAGGTTGGCGTGTAGTTGATTGGTGAAGGTTTCCGTTCTGCTTCTGCAATTCAGAAATCCTGAGATGATTATTGTAAGACGCAGTAGGCTTTTTTTCAAAAATACCTTTCATCTGTTTTTTCTTCAAGCGCAGATGTTCTTTGTATCTTCTGACGAAGCAGACGTATATAAGTAAAGCGATGAGCATAATAATTAGAATGATAACGCTGACGATGGGCACAATCACCTGCGTCGATACTTGATATATTGCCTGTTGAAAGGAGGAAGACCGTGGATCTGTGCAGCTCTGTAAAAGTAGATAAAGAATACCTTGGAGCGTTTAGCGTTTGTCAAGTCTCGAAGGACATGCCATATATTTGACTTTATAAAGCATTGTTAGTGGTGATGGAATGGACATTTGGACTAAGCAGCGGAGCGGTTGTGACGGCCTATCGTTGTATTGCATCCGTGCCTCTATCTCCGCAGACACAGGCTACTAACCCTTGCGTTACACTTATTTCAAGAGAATACCTTTGCATTAACAAACATATAGATTCAAAATATAGGTTGCCATTCGGCGTAAATCGAGTTCTTCCACTCTGCAGTAATGTAACATCAAATTCTTTCGCCATTTACAGATTTTGCGGGGTTTGAGCAAGTGTGATCTGATATATTGGCAGCTTATAGAAGGAGAATCGATGTCGTTTTGCCGTTAAGGGATGCAATGTGACGGGAGCATTTTGACTCCACGAATACTATCAAAAATCAAAAGAGTAAATGGGGCGTTAGGTTTTGAAACGTCTTAACCTCCGTTTAGTTTGTGGAAAGGAACTGTTTTGCTCTTATCTTTCTGACTTTCCTGTTCTTTGTTCCTCTACTCATATTTTCTTTCCCATTTTACTTCTGCTTTTCGGCAATTTTCTGTTGTCGCATTCACCACCAATCTTAACAATGTCTTTCAAGTTATTTCGGCTACAAGTACCTCAATTTTCTTCTATACAAATGTTTGTCCTGTGATCTTATGCCCTTTCAGTGACCATGGCGGCCAGAATGTTCCAACTCTCCACCCTCATGTATCTTCATGCATAACCGTAATATTCGAAGTTTCATACTTTGGCAGTATACAACATCTTCAAATCCACGCATGAAATATAATTTCTCAACACGTTTGGGTGGATATCACACTATGTTCAGTAAAACCCAGACAAGTGCTAGCTCAACAGAGTCGATGTGTATCCGAAGATAAGCGTTTTTTGCTTCTAGTTATCGATCATCAATCTAACTCAAAAACAAGTGTTATCCCGACTAGTTGCATAGTTAGCTTTATGGGAAACCTTAAGGGTTCTGAAAAAAACCTTATGAAACTGATTTTTGAACATCTTCTCACCTCAATATTTATGACCTTGAAATGGCTATAGAGACGAGAAAGCTCGCTATTCTTGTCAGCGGGCGGGGAGAGAGCCGACATGGTAGAATGTTCATTCAGGATTTCCTTGTCGATTGCCATGTGAAAGCACACTGACGTCCTAGAAAATGATTTTTGTTTCATTCTCAATTAACACGCTTCACTGCTGATGTTTGCGACGGCCTTCTGCAGATCATTGAGTTTTAGAGATTGTTTTTACCAATAGCAGTGCTCGAAAATAAAGAGCTCTAAATATAGAAATGATAGAGAAACTTCTGTACTCATAAATTGCAAAACGTGCATTAAACGCACCATGTACAATTCCTTCGATCCCTTTTAGGTTCTGAAAAGAACACCTGCATTGTTCCGTTCGGGTGATCGGCTTCAAACGCTGTTTGCAGCTTTCTGAATTATGACATTTATAGAGTTATTAGTAGCGTGATCTAGTGGACTTTTCATTGGGTCATTGTGATAGATTATGTGATAAAAATGTTACGTTATGGTAAGGCGATAGAAAAGTGACTGGGTGCACTAGAAGAGGAAATCAGTCGGACCATGGTGAAGAAACAAAATGATTTTAGATCTAATATGCGAATAATTTGAGAAGACATGAAAATGTGTGTTGTAATCAGAATGAGTGAATGAGGAGACTTCTTATCTGTGGAAAGTTTTCCGTTACAGTTCTCTATCTTATTTTAGGATTCAGACTGCTTGGAGATTACTTTTTACAAAAACTGCACAAATAGTTAAGTTGAGAAGATTAAGCAAGACATGAGACGGATGAGTTCTATGGATGAAAATGTAAACATTAAGAGAGAATGTGGACATCAAGACCATCGGGCTCTGTAATGAACTTGACAGAAGTCAAAAAGAAACTGATGGGCAAGCAAAGTACTCGGTTCTCCCATAATTTCTTTCGCACTATTGTTTTATTCATTTTCATCAACATTTGAAATCGGTTCACTGCTAAAAGGCTTTGATGTGTATGGAAATGTTCTATTGGCTTTAATCAGACACTTGGATACTGTCGATGCACCATCGCTCGCCATTTAAATAAAATGGACTGCCGCACAATGCTGTCTAGATGGACACCTCATGCATTGACCATCCACGACCGCGCTGCACGTGTAACCATCTGCGAAAGTCTTCTGCTGCGACAGCACGAACAGGACTTTCTTGAGTAGCTAATCACTGGAGATGAGCCTTGGATCTACTACGATGATAGCATGAGCCATGCCTACTGGCTATCTTGCGCAAATAACCCGCCGACTCAATCAAAGCCCAAGTCCCCTGCCCAAAAAATTACGCACTGGATTTCTGGAATTGGCAATAATGTGTTTTGATGACTGATCGACAACAAGTAGAGGGTCAGTACCAACGTCTATGGGAAGAGAACTTCAAAAGTCGGCCTCAGTGGTGCGAAAGAAGCGTCCGAAACAACTCAGTATTGTTCTTCTCCAAGATAACACACGACCTGGTACACTGCAAAGTCGACTCGCCACATTTTCGAGAAACTTGGCTGGACCACGATATCACAACCACCGCATATCCCTGATAAAGCTCCATCGAATAATCATATATTCCGCGTTGTGAGGCAGCATCTGCTGAAGCAAAAATTCAAAGATTACAACCACCTTAAAAGTGACATCACCGGATTCTTTGATCGCCAGCCTCATTCTGTTTGAGAGGAAGGTATCCGGGAAGGAACCATTGTCCATTGACTGATTTCTTTGATAACAATAATAAATTAAGTTAATAACATTAATCAAATAACACCTGACTCAACAAAAGTGTTTAAATGCGAAGAAATTGTGGGAGAACTCGATAGCTTCCCCCGGTTTCAGAATAACTGGGATAATACGTGTACCTTGTGTATTGTTCTCGATTGACGGCAAACTC